CGTGTGTGGCAATCTCACATCCATAAGTGCGTTGACTATTCTCACGTGAGCACACGTATGTGTGAGTTGGTGATAGTGGGGGGAGGGGGGGGAGGGGGGGATAGTTATAGTTATACGGTGCCGTGCTGTCGGCAAGTGTGTATGTGGATCGTCGATTTGCGCGGAAGGAAACTTCGACACTGGGTCGTAGTACAAATGATAGGTACTAGCTACGTAAGAAAATATCGCCCATTCACACTGGTCATTGGCAGGTTAAGGTTTCTCCTCTAGGTGTCTAAATTTATCTCAAGGTCAATCTTTGGATTTGCGTGCATGTTTAGACACTAACGTTACACTACAGTCCTGAAATTCGTTATGTATCTCTGACCGCTTGCAGCACAAACTCCAAATGGTATGGATGAACCGATAGAGTATAGTACTAATGGGCTTATGCTAATGTATACCCGAGTTGACACATGCAGTATATGTACGATGCCTATGTTTAGGGTACAGAACTGTAAGAACTACTTTAAATACAGGTCTCAGTTTGCATCTACACATACCTCAGTATAATAAGCCGGTCACTCGCACCCCGTATGCGGCAGTGGGGCCGAATGACTCATCACCCGTATAGAATTTGACGATGTATCGGATATGCCTTGCACTAAATATGCAAACAAGCACACAATCTAACAAGTATGCCCTACATAAACCAATTCAACAAGCATATTCTAAATAAGCCAATTCAACAAGTATGCCTAAATTAGACCATTTCAATAGGTATGCTCTAAAGGAGCCAATTCAATAATTGTATTCTAAATAAACCAATTTAATAAGTATACTCTAAATAAGCCATTTCAACTAGTGTACTCTAAAGAAGACAATCCAATAACTCTATATAAGACAATCCAATAAGTATACTCTAAATATGCCAATGCAATAGGTATGCTCTAAATAAGACAATTCAATACTATACAAGACAATCCAATGAATATATACCAAACACGCCAATTCAATAAGTATTCTCTAAATTAGCTAATTCGAACAAGTATACTCTAAATAAACCAACCTAATACATGTACTAAAATAAGCCGAGCTGGCCACCTCCGTTTCCCATACAGCAATAGAGTCGACAAGCGCACCATTGTTTTCGCTTATATGCCTGCATATTCTGTATATGTGTCCAATATGTCATACGTACATGGACTAGTACAAGCACACAATCCATCTAAGTAGATTCACTATACCTTATACCCTCAGCAGGCCACCTCCATCTATGTTCATTCATTGTACTCTCAACATGCCACCTATGTCCCGTAAGTTGAAAACTTTCTCAACTAGTACTAGGACAAGGAAATACATTAAACATTACATTAAACATTACATTAAACATTACATTAAACATTACATTAAACATTACATTAAACATTACATTAAACATTACATTAAACATTGCATTAAACACTACATTAAACATTCATATTTTTCATCCTATACTAGGGTACATCCTAAATAGGCATGCTTTCTTTTAAGAAGCACATCATCTGTATTCGCTTCAGGCCGCCTCCGCCCCTGACGCGGCTGTGGTGTCAAACAGAACACTGACTATGTGTCTTGTCCGGAATCAGGATTATACTACACGGGATATAATATGCTAGCACACGCATAATCGCTCACTTTGTATCCTCCCTATCCGTTGAGCAGGCCACCTCTGCCCCGTACGCGGCTGTGGGGTCCAACGCCGCGTCTCCGGTAGCGTCACCCAGTGCACGCTCTAGTCTTCTGGAGCAGTTCGAGTTTAAAAACCCCAGCTCCAAGAGCAACATTATGACAAGTACCGATGAACTGAGGCAACTGGCCATCATGCAGAACGCCAGCAGCATCCCAGTGGTGGGGGGCAACGAGTTCTCGCTGATCAAGCGGCTGGATGAGTTGCGCAACGCCCCGGCCCGCTCCAATTCTGTGCCCATATTGAATGGTATGTTCATGCTCTGGGAAGTAGTACACATGCAATGAATAGGATACATCATGTTCATTATTGCAGTGCTTTCGTAGTGATGTATGGTTCTATTAGACGTTTGGCGGGGAAGGAGTTCTCGCTGACTGAGCGGCTGGATGAGTTGCAGAACGCCCCGTCCCGCTCTAATTCCGTACATGTTATTGCGATGTAATGTATATGGATAGGCAAGGCTGTAGTCTGGCTTTATATATATATATAAATATATATATACACATGAATGTATAAATGAAGGTTGTATGTATATATATATATGTATGTATGTATGTATGTATGTATGTATGTATGATTGTATGTATGTATGTATGTATGTATGTATGTATGTATGTATGTATGC